AATATAGCTCTGCTTTTTTAGTTGTTTTTCTCTTAAAAGGTGGGTTGAAAGATGTGGGGCTTTCAAGATTTTTTTTTTTCCTCACCTTAGTAATATTGAGACTATGTAAAATCTTCTTTCCTGTTTGTTCATGTTTCTCTCTCTTCCCCATTCAAGTCTCCTTGCAGAACTAATCTCTGTGATACCTTTCTCTGGCTTAACTGAGATGTAAAAGAGATCCTTCTTTCTAGCTCTTGGACATTAGTTTGAATCTAAAAAAAATCTTTTCCGTTTTCATTTACTTAGGTTTCTCTTGCTTGTTACATGTGATGCATTATTGCCATTATTTCTCCATAGTTTTAAGGTAATGGGGACTTACGAGACTTGAATCCTAATGCCAAAAAGAAACAAACCCGCCCCCCACCCCCCAGGGAACAAAACCTTGGGGACTTGTAGCACTTAACATGGTGTAAAAAAGCAAAACGGGGCGTAAACCTCATTTGATTCTGCTGTGTTTTAAGATGTGCATATGAGACGAGACCTTGAAATGTCCATCAATTCCCTTGGCACTCTGCTTCGGGGGGAAGTGTAGGATTAGCGAGTCCTAGCTAGAATCCAGGTTAGGATATTGTTTCCTTTTTGCCACTACTTGTACAAGTAGTACAGTCCGTTGCAACTGAAAAAATGTTATTTTTTGATGTTTTCCCTTTGTTAGCGTGTCAGTCAGCTGGTTTTCTTACTGGCAGTCTCATCAGAGACTATGAATTAAATGGGCCATGGAGACTGAACTCGCCTTCATCCCAAAAATCAGTCGCTCAGTGGTGTCAAGGCTAGGGTACATTCAGGCAGGTTGGGAAGGCTTCTGTCCCATGAATAGCAGACTAAACCCTACAGCCTCAACTTTTTACCCCCTTCCATAGAGTATCTGGTGTGTTATATTTCAGCTAAGGGGCTGACAGATGTGCAACTCTGCACTGTAACTCATGGTGCTTAACAGAGTACCATGAGTTACAGCGACACCCCCTGCCCCCCGACATTTGCTGTTGGGTTGGGGAGGGAGGAGGGAATCAAGTTCCACTTTGGAGCTGATCCAGGAGGAGCTGCCTGTCTGCAGCCTCTCCCCTAACCCTGCCTCCCTCCCTCCCATCTCTAGTGCTGTCTGCAGGGTGGGATTGGGGGGGACCAACCCACCTCTGCCCCACTTCAGTGCTCCGCAAGTGCAGGCTGGGCAAACCCAGCCTAGAGCTCCCTCCCCCATCTTGTACCCCTCCCATCCTGGAGACAGCACTGTGGGGTGAGGCTGGGCTGCATCGGGCCAGCCCTAATCGCATCGTGCGCAGGGACAGATGGAAGTTAATGAAAGCACTCTGCTTTGGAGCACCTTCATCAGAACGCTCATTACATGAGGTTTAATTTATTGCGTGATCAGGCGCTTTTAAAACACTCTGCAGCCATGCACTTCTGTCAGGGCGTGGCTGTAGAGCACTTTCAAGGGGCTCAGTACCCGCTGTTATTAAAGCAACAGAACTGGACAAATAAGGCAGCACAAGTAAGTGTCCCCAACAGAGGCACGGGGCAGGAGAGAACAGAAAGTATGATGGGGGATCAGATTTCTCTGATCGATCTCTCTCTGTATCTTTACCTCACTCAGCTGTGGTATGGAAGTGCTGTTGGACTGCAAACTCTCTGTAGACTTGCTGCCAAAGACAAGTGAACAAACAGTGCTTATTAAAGAATAAAGAGCAGTTTAAGTGGAGTCTCTGCCTTGTTTCTGCCTTAATGCAGCAGCAGACACTTGACAAGATAGGAGACTCCCTGAAGAAAATGGACAAGGAGGGCTTGATCTGGTGCTTTGCGCCTGTCCTTCTGCACCGGAGACCTAGTATATTCAAGACTTGAGAGGTGTGGAATGCACCACGCAGGTATAGTCCCAAATCCAATCCATCATTAAAAAATGTTGCCGATAATTAGTCTGAAACATGCAGATCTACCCAGTCTTTGTCAAGCTGTTTGGCCATGGGAAGAAGCAGTGTTAATGGAATTTAAGAGCTTTCTTATCCTGTGCTACCTGAAACTAAAGATAGCGGCTGTGACACAAAGCCTTCAACTCAGTAGGAGTGGAGAGTGCCTGAGTCTGACAGGGGGAGACATCCCCAAAAGCAAAGCTATATTTCTTGGCCTTGCCTCTGGTTTTAGGCATTCAGCTTGAGACAAGGTAGGTTGACTAGGGCTGGCCAGCACCTGCCATCATGACTGCTGAGCAGCTCTGTAAATTAGGCAGATTTGAGCAATAGGAATTTGTGACTACTCTTTAATTTTTGGACTCAAATATCAGTGCTTAATTAAGGTGAAGCATTAACCCTGTCTAAAGCCATGCTTAATACGTTTGGAGATGGAAAAGGTTCTTATTTCACGCAGCCCTGGTAAGGGAGCACAGGTTTGACTAGCAGTACTTTGCGAAGCGGAGTCCCGTGTTTGCGACTGCTGTGTTGATATACCTCACTTCAAACCGCCTCCCAGGGCATGGAAAATCCATTTGATAGAGCGGAGCATTCTCTGTAAATGCCTTTGGAGCGAGTGGAGCAGACCAGTGAATTTCAGCAGAACATAAGCTTTCATTAAAAATAAACGCTGTTAGCCCATATGGTGGTGAAGATAATGTTCCACATGTGACCTACGCAGTGATGGCTTCTTGAGTCCATGAGGGGAGGGCTTCGGGACCCTTGCTGCTGCTTGCTCATAATTTTACCAAGCAGTGGCTTTGATAAAACTAACCTAGTTTCAGTTCTGCTATTCACAGACTTAAGGGCAGCATTGAAACTGCTGATAATGTTTGTCAGTTCCATGCTTCTCCTGCTTCACAAATCTCTGAGCAGAAGTAGAGTCAGACCTAGGAGTTTTCAATATGGAAGTCAAATAGAGAGAACTGAGGCTTGCAGGGAGAGAAAAGAAATCTCTCACCCAGGAGAGGAGTAGCAGAAAGGTTTGGTCCTTGTGCGCCCATCCCCACAGGTGACTGGTGACTAGGGGGTCAGAAGAGATAGGCAGCTCCTCCTCCTCCTTAACAGCTGGGGGATTTAGAATTTCAGACCTACCAGCTTCTGACTAGTAGGTAGCTGATATGAAAGATGGAGCCCCCAGCCACAAAGGACCTATCTCTGATGCAAACCCTAGCACTCCTTCACACCTGGTGGGAGTCACTAGAGATGGCTCTGCAACCATGGCACTGTCCCTGAGCTTCCCAGATCAGCCTCAGGTACCTTAGTGATAGAAAATCTTTTCCAGTCGTGCACTTGGTTTCAGGGTCTTGGCTAGAGAGACACCCCCCCCCCCCCCCTGATCTTTTTCAGGCAACCTGGATTAATCCCATCCCTCAACTTGCTCACCAGAATGGGTCCACCCCTAGAGAGCAGACCAGACACATGGGGATCCACACATGTGAACTGAGAGAGGTAACAGCCATGATGGAGACAGCAGCTTACTGTGTTCAGGGCTGCTCTTTATAGACAAATATTAGGGAGCGTGGCCAGGGCTGTGCTTGCAGCTGAAGGGCACCTGGCATATGGCTGATCAGAGAGGTAGTTAGCTATGTTAGTCTGAAGTCAGGCAGAAGTCAGGGTAGATTTTCACATTATAGACTAAGTCAAAGATGCATAAGCTTTCATAAGCAGCAGCTTACCTCATCAAATGCTAAGGCAGCATTTCCAAACTTTTTCCATCCCATGGTACGCTGGTCAAACGTGACAGGGGAGGGAGCGGGTGGACGCAGAGCCGGGGGGGTGGGGGGCACACTGGTTGGGAAATGCTGATCAGTGTGTCCTGGGGTCACTGCTGCACTGGCAAGGACAAAGGTAGTCTTGCAATGGTGGCTCAGCCCCAAACTGTAGCATTTAGCCTGCAGCCCAACTTGTGCACTTGGCTGTGGTCAACAAAAGTAGCATTGATTACTGCAAGCCTATTAATAGGCTTTGTTTGGTGACCTCTGAATCAGGGAAACTTTTTTTTAGAGCAGATCTGCAGGGCAGTTTGTTTGGGACTGCAGGGTCAGTTCCTTGAGAAGAGTTAGTTCAGCACCGGCCCAATACAACTCAGACCTGTGCTTTCCAGTCTGCTTTGCCAGAAACAGTAAAAGGGCATGATGTAATCTTAGGAACCTTTTCAAATGTTTATAGACCTTGTCATTTAGCGAGACCACGAGGCAAAGGTCATATTGGAAAAAAATCAGTGGAGTTCTCTGGGCTCTCTTCCAAGGGTGTTATGGCTCAGTGGACACAACACTAGGTTCAAATCCTGGTCTTCCCATAGTTTTGTTGGCTAATATTGGATGAGTTGCTTACTTTCCTGTGCCTCAGTTTCCACACATATATAATGAATACAGTGACCCTAACCCCCCTGTTTGGAGTGCTTTTGAGTTCTGTAGTTGAGAAGCACTCAGTAGGAACCAGGCATACTTACTGTATTATGCAAGCCTCCCTTATATTAACAATTATTCAGAGTAGGTGAGAAGTCATTTTGTGAAGACCTGCACCTCTCCGTTCTCATCTGCTTTAGTCCGTGATGAATCGGGAAGAGTGGTGGTATTCGAATACTCCTTACTGGGCTTCAGAGTCAGTGTCTCCTTTCAATGCATAGCTAGCACTACAGTGGCAAATTAGTTCACAAGGGCAGCAATGCCCCTGCTCTATCATGAGGACAGCTACCCATATGAGACAGACTGCTGTGTTCTGTTCCAAGGTGCTGGGGTGTATTTGTTGCATGCAGGGTGACTTGTTCTGGTTTGCCCCCTTTTCTGCTGCTGGCATTAAGCACAACCTGGTATATGCTTGAGCAGGCTGGAACGCTTGGGGCATATTCTAGGATGGTGCTTGCAGGACATCTAGATCACCTCCGGCTAGGGTTGAATAACTGAAGTCTTGCTCAACCACAGTCTGGGAAGCATGGATACCTCATGCTGTACTAGGTGTTTCCAAGCTCTCTAGTGCTAATGCAGCTGACTTCAGTCTGGTTTGCTTTTTTTGTAGTCGGGACAGTTCAATGAAGACATGATCCCAACAGTGGGCTTCAATATGAGGAAGATCACCAAGGGAAATGTTACCATAAAGGTAAGACACAAGCCCTGCTTCTGCTGTGGGGGTGGTTAGACTAGGGGAGAGTGAGAAGTACTGAGATCAGTGTGCTGTTTTGCAGTAGGTTAAAAAGATGCTGGTAATATTGACTAGTGTGTAGGCAGACTTAAAAATAGACCAACCTCAACAACAGCTTAGTCTGGAAAGTCTGGTCTTCTAAATTGCTACCAGCATCCTACAGAGGTGCCAGTATGTTGGGATTGAGGGTTACTTAAGCAGTAAAAAACTGCTGGCCAAGTCGCACAGTCACTGAATTGCCTGATGGCCTTCACCACGCTCTTGATGTCTCACCAGATTAGCAGAGGGAGTTAAATTTGTCCAGGACACAGGAAGGAAAGTTACCTTGCTATTCAGGGAAGGGTGAGGCTTATGGGATACTCTGTTAATGGGGGTGCCATTCATAGGAGTTACTGTCTGTGATCTTTAGAGTTTTGTGTCTCTGAGAGCGCACATTTGTATCCCATCCAGTGCTGCCCACGAGTACTTGGTTTGGCAAACTAGAAAATAATTTGGGGTTTGAAGGGCCTCCTGATACTCTTTCGTTCCACAAAATCTAGTGCAGACTGTGTCTTTGGTTTGCTGCAGATAACACTTCTGAGCCCAAAATAGAGTGCTTGAAATGCATGAAAGCTTCAGTGGGAAGAAATTCCTCTAGCATCAGCCTAGTGAGTGCAGAGGAAGACACGTGGCAGGTTCTTGGGGGCCTTTAAGCTGTTATCTGGGCCTTAGGCCCTAGCCCTTTCAGGAAGGACTTGTTAACTTGGAGGACATTTTGCGTGAGTGCACATGAAGAAGCAAACCCAGCATTATTTCCACTAATGAAGTGCAGGTACAGTATTAGTAAAGGTCCTAACTGGGTGGTCAGAAGTATAAACAGCTGATGTTCTCAAGGAATAAGGGCATCCTACTTGGTTTGGGCTTGCTGGTGCAACTGGCAGAGTAAAAAGGGCATCCTACTTGGTTTGGGCTTGCTGGTGGTACTGGCAGAGTAAACCAGCCACTTGCTAAAGATGGGAGAATGCTTTGTGGCAGAATGTGAAAAGGGAAATACCTGGTGGTGGTGGGAGTCATGGGAGCGTATGGAACAAAAAAGCAAGGTGTGTGGTTGTCTGGGAGGATGCTTATGGGGGGTTCAGGTAAGGTCTTACTTTCCTCTTCCTTCTGCAGCTCTGGGACATTGGTGGTCAGCCTCGTTTTCGTAGCATGTGGGAGCGATACTGCCGAGGAGTCAGTGCCATCGTGTAAGTAACTTGCAGTTTTGCTGTCTTCCTCTTGTGAAATGTTGAGGGCTCCTGGTATTAAATTTTGAGCAAGGTGGGAAGGGTGAAAAATAATTTAAACAGACCCTTGGGTAATTCTAGCCAACGTAAACTGACAAAAACAAGATTAATTGCAGAGGATAAGCATAATCTTACAGGATGAGTCTCTCTTGCCATGGAGTGGCATTGGCCAGTGGTCTCCACAGCAAGGGGGGTGGAAATCCTCTTTCAGTGTTGCATCAGGCAAGTGTCTTGTTATGTGCAGCAGTCCCATAGGTGTCATTGTTGAAGATTTACCCTCCAACTTCCTTCCAGTTACTCCCCCTGTTTATGAACGACTAGTAAACATGATGTTAATATTTTAATTAAAGATCCCTGCTTGTAGCCTGGCTGTCTGCTCTGAGTTGCATACACACAGAGGCCCACATGTCACAGCTGCTTGCATTTTCTGATAGCCACATACGTCATGAATGTCAGTTCTGTGCCAACACTGGGCACAGTGGAGCCCCCCCTACAATATTGTGAATGGATCTGCTTAGCTCACACAACTCAGGATACAACTGAGGGGGAGCGGTTCGCTTGTCCCTTACTTCATGCTCCCACTGGCCTATGAGCCTGAGTTAATAGAGTGATTATTTGGCTTGATGTTGTCTAGCATAATAGCTCCCCGCTGGCATTGACAGGCTCGTGCATTCTGAACTGAGCCTCTGTTGCCCTTGCTGATGTGACTAGACCTTAGAGTTCAGTTTAGTACTTCCCTTTGTCACTCATTTGAGGGGGTTTCTAAAGGTGGGCAGAACCGATTTACACAACTTATTTCTGTAGGTCAGGAAAGTCAGACTTGTCTAACCCTCCCCCACTCTCCCTTTTTGTCACATGCCAGAGCCAGTTCCCATGGCACCTGTTCCAGTTGTGCGGCATCCATGTGCAAACATGTCCCAGACTGACTGGCATGTGACGTGTACTGCATGTGGCACCCTCCCCTGCCAGCCCAGGACTGCACCGCAGATTCACAGAAGTTTAGAGCTGGAAGGGACTTTGTGTGATCATCAGGTCCAGCCCCCCTGCTCAGAGCAGGAAAGACTGCTGGGGTCAAATAACCCCAGCAAGGTGTGTGTCTAGTCTTCTTTTGAAAATCTCCAGGGTAGGTGCCTGCACCACCCCCACCGGGAGTCTATTCCAAAGTTTGGTCACACAAACCGCATGTGGCATGCAATCCAGGATGCACGCTGGAGTACCATGTGCAACATGGATTCAGAGCTGGCACTGTGTGGCATGCATCCCAGAGTGGATATGGCATGCCTCCTGAAGTAGGTGTTGCATGCATCCCAGGTCATGTATGCAAGACCAGTCTGGTGTGAGCCATGTGGGTCAACTATGAGACCCAGGAACAGTGCCAGGGGTCAGATAAGGGGCTAGGTCTTTGACATCCCTGCTGATGGTGATCTTGGGGCTACTGTGGGCAGTTGCTTTTATTCCCCAGAGTTCATGAGTGGCAAATCTTGGGGCGTGTTTTAAAGAAAAGCCTTTTTCTAGGATACGTTGTAGATGTGAACATTTCCTTTTGCCGGGATCTGCCCCTGGCAGATTCTTGTGTTTCTGCTTTTGTGTTGCTTTGGGGGCATAGATTACTGAAAAATCAAATAACTATCCAAACAAGTGTAGCAGAATGGCTATAGTGAGCAAGTCACATGCTTGCAATGGCAAATATTTGTCCTGCAAACCTGAGTGTGAGCTATGTTCATGCAGCTGGTGAAGACATTTACCATGGCCTTCACTTGTTTAAATGTGTCTTGATTTTTGAGTGCCTCAGTTTTCTTTTCAGCTTCAGAAATTCAGGCACCCCAAATTAGAGCACATACGTGGGTCCAGTCAGAGTGGCTCTGGAGTTTGATTTCAGTTGTGTGCAGACTACTTGTCAGGAAGCTGCCGATCAAGAATTCTTCACAGAATTGTAACAAAAACATTTGAGAATCTCATTTTTGACTGCATTATAATCGGAAATGAAATTAACCGACCAGTCGGTGAGACAGGTTTGCCTAATTTTCATTCCCCAGGACCACAAATTTCAAGTCTGTTCCCCATTTAGGTGAGGTTTGGAAGAATGCACTGACACGAGTTACGGTTCTTTGGGTGAATCTGATATCTTTTATTAGGCCAACTTAAATAGTTGGGGAAAAAAAAATTCTAAGCAAGCTTTTGGGTTTAAAAACCCTTTGTCGGGCTGAGGAAGTTTCTGCAGTTGGTGTGTGCTCTTCCTGGATGGAATGAAAAGTAAAGAAGCCAGAGTTTGGGCTGGTAACTTTTTTTCCAACTATTTAAGTTGGTCTAATGAAAGATATCAGATTCACCCAAAGAACCTTGTCTGCCTATGTCCTTAGACCAACACGGCTACAACCTACACTCTTGACATGAGTTACGGCATCCTAAAATGCTGGTGACATTCAGCTCTGTCTACTTCATCCCAGTCTGATGAAAAGGAGTTTCCTTGGTCTTCCGATATTATGGTCGATACTGGGCCCTGGATGAAAGCCAGAACTAACGGCATTGGCTGAGTCCATATAATGCAGAGGTAAAGTTGACTGGCAAAGTGAGCAGTATAAGGATTTGAGGAGATGCATAGCCTAGTCATTTGTCAAGATATCTGTAGCCTGCACGTTTTATTAAACCACTTACTGCTTCTGGACAAGCAAAATACAGCAGGAACCTGAAATGCTTTTGCTCAAGGCCGGCTCTGGTAGTCTGCCAGTCCTCCTCGAGTTGGAGCCTTCCCTTTGGTTGTCAGCACTCTTGCAGTTTGTAGGCTAAAGCACTGCAGTGCCCTGTACCTGGGGTTAACACTGAAGGCTGCTCAGACACCACCCCTCCTTCTCTTTATGACTACCCTATGCCTGGTAGGAATGCTGTAGCTGTTTGTCCCCAGGGAGAAGTTCACAGATGCCTGGAACAGTGTGTTCTGAGTAGCAGGCCCCCACTCTGGAGTTAGCTCATTCTGGAGATGTGGCTGAGCCAGCCTGGCAGTTTTTAGCACTCCGTCACCCTTGTCCTGGCTTTCTGCTCCCTGGATGCTCTGGGTTTTCTGGTGTTCTTCTTAATCTGCTTCAGCAGGCAGTTGTTTGGATGCTAGCTGGACTGTGGAGTTCTCTGTGCTCCTTTCCTGCTGCTCCTGTTAGGTCAGAATATTCTAAGAGGCCATGGGCACTCTTAACAAGCAGTATCAAAGTGCTTATATGAATTGAAAAGAGCAATAATACTTTATTTAGGAAGCAAAACAACACCCCATGTGCTTGTTCCCTACCCTCACTAGCTTTTTGGTTACAGTGACACTGGCACCAAAACAGCTTCATGCAGTGAACTGTACACCTTTCATTGCGTGGTTAGTCTGGGTTTTCACTGGTTATTGCCCATAATCCCCTTCTCCATTAAACACCTTTCTTCAGTTAAGTATTAGATTTTAGCAACATTCTGACTAGGACCAGGAGTTGAAGTTTGGGTCCTGAACCCTCCCACTGGGCACTACAAATGCAAGCTAAATTGCTTGTGGTGATGGTCCTCCAGTATCTTCTCTCAATTCCTTGCATGCCTGCAAGAATAGACATGAAATCCCACAATGCACTGGGGAAGAATTATACAGCAACTCAAGAAGGGCTCTGCAGTATGGCTACTCAAACCTGGGCTAGAGTAATCTGAATGGTGATAACCTGGGTTCACTGCAGGGAAGATTTGCTCCAAGTTTCCTTTGCATAAGGAGTCAGGTGACATGAAGCAGTACCCATGAGGGTGCTGGTTTCTGAACACACCAGCATTGGTGTCTAGCTCTGAAATCTAGTGTCTCCCATTGGAAAACAGGGCTGGCAAGATCTCCTGGATCAGAACTCTGTCTCCAACTGTTGCAGTCAACCTCGTTGTATAAGCTCACTCATAAAATGTGCAAACTGTTTTAAGAGGAGTTGGGTTTCTGGCCTACTTTACTCCTACTCTACTCTGGCATGATCCGTCTTTGGCAAACCCATGTGCATTTTACCCCATCTTCCATTTATGTTTATTTCATTATTCTTTCTGAATTTACACTAAAGCTTTGTATTCCACTGAGATTATACCATAGTCTGGTGTTGGCATTCTGCAGTTGTTACAGGGACCTCTAAATTCATGAACTGGTTCCTTCAAAATTTTGAGACTGAGATTATCCAGTCCCCTCCCTTGAGCTCTACCACTTCCTTACTCTCAGTCCTGATAGCCACCTCTCCCTGCAGCAGTGACAGTTGTCATGATCTTTATGGAAAATGAGGCAAAGCATTCGTTTAAT